GTACGGAAAGTGAGTACTTTTGCCATCTCTGCAGAAGACATGCTAAAAAAATGTTGGCGGTATTAATTGTTTTTAAAGTATCAGAAAGAGATACCTGAACTGTTATTTTGCAAAGGCTGGAAAATATCAACTTAACGGACATTGGCCTAAATTTCAATATTGTGCTTCTCTAATATTATTTCAAATATTAATAGCTGGAGTCAATGCGTCGTCAATATCTATATTTATTATCAATAAAAAGACTATTAATGCAGATTACGAAATTTTTCATCCAAGAAATGCTGGTAACAATTCTAAATGTATTTTGTTGCTGTTCTTGTCTAATTGCCTCCTATCTTTCTTGTAAAATAATCTGCTACACTGAAGTTGACCAAAGAGGCATTACAGAGTTTTCAAATGATACTGCCATCTTTGGCCAAAACACAGAACTGCAGCACACTTCTGCACGTTCTCGTAGCTCGTTAACAAGTTTGACTTCTTTCAGTGTTTTTTGGCTTTTTTTTTTTTTTACCTGACGTTGAGTTGCCATTGCTGTCTGAGTTGGCTTAATGCCAGTTGCTTCTGAGTATCCACAAAATCAAACTTAAATATAACTATTTGATTGTTTGCCAGGTTTGATCCATCCGCACAACAGGGTGGGAACTTCCAACCCGAAGTACATTCAAGGAAAATAAGCAAAAGGCTTATAGATGCATCAGTGCAGAACTATTGAGGCGTCAGTGTGAACATCAAACTATGTTCTAATCATAAAGGGTCAAATAGAAAGGCTAATGTAAAGATATTTTTCAGTAAAAACTTGCAATAAATCTGTTTAAGCTCCATATTACTTGCCATTATTAATATACCTTGTTGTATCCTCAACCCAGGCCAGAAAACAATGGTAGATTTTGCCCGGGATCAAGTCGACACAACCAGCTGTGTAACACTCGGCCCTGCCCTTTCAATGCGTTGGACTTCCGGGCCCAACAGTGTGCTGAGTACAACAGCAAACCCTTCAGAGGCTGGTACTACAAGTGGAAGCCTTACACCAAAGTGGACGGTAAGGATGTCAGCTGATTAAAGACATGCGTTTGTATTTTTTGTGTTCAGTGATCGTTGATCCCTTTCAATGAATTTAAAAAGAAAACTATTTCCTGTTGCAATAATCAGAGTCACAGAGCTGCAGGAAAATATTGCTGAGTTCTTTTTCTTATGCATGGGAAACATGTAGCTACCTGTAGCCTCAAACAGAAGGAAAGGTTTACAAAAGGAAAGCCTGCAGGCTGGCTTTGTTACGCCGTGAAAGGGAGAGGGAGTGTGGTGAGGAAGAGCTTTGCTGTCATCTCAGTCTGGTTTAAACTGCTGATGAATGAAAGGGACCATGTGGAGAAGAACAGATTCGTTCTTGGTCCAAGTCACCTTCACCATCATTTGTTTTAATCAGAGGGGACCTTGGAGGCCTTTCTGTGATTACTGATCTGAGTTTGAAAATAAACCAATGGGCCCAAGAAGTGCTTCTATTGCCAATTTCTTTCATTTCCATTTTAAACTCTCCTGGTCAAAGAGAAAGAGTGTTCTGTAGCATTTTTTTTCTTTCCCTGCAGAGGAGGACATCTGTAAACTCTACTGCATTGCAGAAGATTTTGACTTTTTCTTTGCCATGTCGAGCAAAGTGAAAGACGGCACCTCCTGCTCCGACCAGAGAGAAGGTGTCTGCATTGACGGAGTGTGTGAGGTAAATCATTTTATTTTAGGTTTTTATTTGCATTAGGACTTATAAAGAATGTGTCAGAATCAAGTTGGGGAAAAAGTTGGGGTATTTCTTTAATTTAATAACCTACTTTTCATGTTCTATCATTTAAAGGCATACTATGCAACATTTTTCA